ATGAAGCTAGTATGGTGAGCAAAACAAGAGTGGCTGCCACATAGTGAGGCTACCTCAATTCTCTCCCTCCCTCACTAAAATTCCTCCTTCCACAATACTACGCACAATGCTAATTATAACCACAATCCTGGTCACTAATTCCTGTAAATGAATAACTGACCACAAGATTATTTTGAAAAGGAACCTAAGAAGTCGTTTGAAGATTCCTAGATGGACGAAATAATGCTGTGGTGCTGTGGCTAGTGCTGTGAACATCGTGAACAGCATTGAATCACTGATATTTGAATATTGTACCCAGTCATTATCACACTCAGGCTCTTCTATAATACTATCATGGCTAAATAATACAGGTTATATATATATATATTTTTACATTATTAGGTGATGTTGTGGTCACACGCTGAACAGCAGTGCTGTGCGCTCATGCTGCGTGCGCCGGCCTTGGTTGCTCACACACTACTGAGGCTCTCAAATCCGGGAATGTGGACCATGATTTTTTTTAAAGATGGCGTCTGTTTACAAGAGCCCTGAGGAAGCTGATGTGAATCCCATGTAGCCGCGGGAGTTTTGAATGGAACGTGAAAAATACAAATACCCGGAGGCACGTAGCGCACCCCGGACGTGGGCCTGCAGGCGCGTTGCGCAGTTAAAGGGCTAAGGGGCATATTACACTATTTTGAAATGTTGTTTAATATCAACCAAACTTTATTTTTACTAGTTGTATATAAGAAGGGCTGCAACTGTTCTACGTTTCAGTATTGCACCTTAAATAGAAAGGGAGGTACTGTAATTTTTTTTCAATAAATTTTACACATTTTCAGTAATACTCTACAACCATAATTTTCAAATGAAATCATTTCTATGACACTCATCTATCACATTAGCATATGATAAAGGATTTTTATAAAAAGGATTATCCAAAATATGTTTAGTTTTACTAATACAAGTAGTCAAATTTCCACAAAAAATTTCTGACCAGGGGGAGAAAGATACTGGCAGCATGGGGCGTTAAAGTTTATTGAAGATTAAATTCTGCAGAACATGTAAATATATAAAGTAAGAATTAACAGTAACAATTCCAAGTCCGAGGACTAGATTTAACATAAAAGGTACACCCGTAGTAATTATGAGACCTTAGCCTATAGTGACATGGAAACTAATTCTGCAGAAACGTAAAGCTTAACTGGTACTAGAATTAAGGCCGAATGCAAATGTGAGTAATTATATAACACTAGGATATAACAGGCAGGACACAAAGAGTAACTAATAAGTGAGAGACCACATAACACATAATGTACCCGACCAAGAGGCCGGAAAGACCTAATGAATAAGGAGAAGGGGGTGACTACAAGTAGGGCTTACTAGCACCTAGACTGGGCAAAGTATTAGCTGCGGACAGCGGGACACTTGGGGACCGGCGCTGCACCCCCCTTCCCACATGCAGTGGGGAGACAACCGGGACAACTGTGCAAAGCATGACGGGGGTACAAAAGCAGCCGCTTGCAAAGGGGGGGAGGGTGGGGTTTTGCGAGGGCAGCGGCGAGGGCAGGCGGAGTGAGGGCAGGGCCCCATTGTGCGCCCGTATTTATATGGCCCCAAACTGCCCGCGCAACGCCGCGGGACGCGCTGCGCAATTGTTTCTTTCTCCCCCGCCAGAAACATCCCCGCTTGCGTCAAGCAGTGACCATTATATGTCAATGTTCCATGTTTGCAAATATATATATAAAATCAATAAATGAAATTAGGAATAAAGTGTTTTAAAAATGTTGTAGAGATGTCAACTCTACAATGTAAGGTGTAAATTTCATGTAAACTGAAAAAAATTGAAGAGGAGAGTTAATTTTATGTTACTTGACAATAAATAATATAAAATATTCTGCCACCTGTGGTTGAAGTTGACTTCAACCAATTTCCTCCAAAATTTGCACCCTTACAGATAGGCTTACGTTCTGTAAGGTGTATAAGTTTCATGCAAATCGGCTGATAAAAAATGAGAAAAAAATTTGAGAAAAAAAAATAATTTTTTTGAAAAATTTTTTTGGTATAAAACTAAATATTTAAATACTTTATTATATGCTATTGTGATAGCTTAACCACTGCACTGCGCAAAGCGCCTTTAGGCGCTCTGAGATTTGTGCTTTTTGTTTTTTAATTAGGCTATATTTTAATACTTTTAAATGTTTTCATTACTCTTTGTGTTTTGAAATGGAAATAGTTGACTTTGGAAACATTTTGACATTAACTTTACCTGAACAATTATAAAAATAACAAAAATATATCCTTGAGAATTGCACCAAGACATTTTTGCCGAAAATGGGTGAGCAGTGCAGGGGTTAAAGTCATAGACATGATTTCAGTTGACACTTGTGTTCGATGTTAATTTTTGACCATTTTGGAAATTTTGACACACAATTCAATATTTTTTTCTCCCTTCCTATTTTCGCTACGATGGTGAGACTTGGACCTGTTGAACCCAATTTTATATACAACTAGTCAAGAAAGTTTGATTGAAATGGAACCAGTTTTCATTTATTGCATATTTTCGGCATACGCCCCCTTAAACTCCACCATTATGGAATCTGAGGCCTTGCCCTGAACTATCCAATCCAATCTTAATGACAGACACCAATATGTAGCCATCAATGATAAAACCTTCCCCACTCTACCATTAACAGTAGGAGTGCCAAAGGGCAGCATCCTAGGACCTCTCCTATTTTTTATATACATCAATGATCTGCCAAATGTCTCTAATATTCTTAAACCTATACTATTTGCTGAGGATACTACGTTCATCTACTCAGAGCCCAATCCACAAACACTAAATAATGTGAATAACAAAATAAAAAACCACTTATGGATGTCAACCTACAAACTCACACTAAACATAGAAAAGACTCACTACATTTTATTCAGAAGCAAATCATCAAATTAAATTCAGCTTCAGATAGACAATGTAATTAAGTGTGAAAATTAAATTGTAAAGCTTGTAAGGTTGGGATACTTTTGTTGCTGGTAATAATAATAAATAAATTATGTTGAATTGTAAAAGTTTTTTTTACTGGTTTATATTACACTAGGCCAACACTACATCTAATACAGCAATGTACATGCATCAAGTTACAGTACTTATCTTAACATCTGCATTGTCTGACACAGCACCTAAGTTGCTGCATCAAGTTAGGCAATGGCTGTGGAGCTGCATTGAGTTAGGTAACGGCTGTAGAGCTGCATCAAGTTAAGCAACCACTGGTAGAGCGGCATCAAGTTAGGTAATGGCTGTAGAGTTGCATCGAGTTAGGCAATGGCTGTAGATCTACAGCAAGTTAGTCATCTGACCTATGAGGTTGGACGAGTCTGCAAGCAGCCGCGTCCAACAGCCTGGTTGACCAGTTCAGCAACGAGGAGGCCTGGTCGAGGACCAGGCCACGGGGACACTAAGCCCCGAAATCATCATAAGGTAATCACAAGTTAAAGGTAAACTGTGGTAGGGCGGCCACGGGTCTGGCAACCTTGACAGGGCAGCCACGGGTCTGGCAACCTTGGCAGGGCTGCCACGGGTCTGGCAACCTTGGCAGGACGGCCACGGGTCTGGCAACCTTGGCAGGGCAAACCCCTCACAGTGTTCAAGAGAGAACTGGATAAGCACCTCCAAAGGATACCTGATCAACCAGGCTGTGACTCATACGTCAGGCTGCGAGCAGCCGCGTCTAACAGCCTGGTTGATCAGTCCAGCAACCAGGAGGCCTGGTCGACGACCGGGCCGCGGGGACACTAAGCCCCGGAAGCACCTCAAGGTAGGTAGGTAGGGCGGACACACTGCCGACCATGGCAGGGCGCCACGGGTCTGCCGACCATGGCAGGGCGGCCACGGGTCTGCCAACCACAGCAGGGCTGCCACGGGTCTGCCAACCACAGCAGGGCTGCCACGGGTCTGCCAACCACGGCAGGTCTGCCACGCGTCTGCCAATCGTGGCAGGGCTGCCATGAGTCTGCCAATCGTGGCAGGGCTGCCACGAGTCTGCCAACCTGATGGCTGCAACGAGTTTGTCAATCAACATCAAAGGCCAGAGGCTGTTCAACACGCTTCCACTACACATAAGGACCATAACTGGCCGACCCCTCACAGTGTTCAAGAGAGAACTGGGTAAGCATCTCCAAAGGATACCTGAACAACCAGGCTGTGACTCATATGTCAAGCTGCAAGCAGCGGCGTTCAACAGCCTGGTTGACCAGTCCAGCAACCACGAGGCCTGGTCGAGGACCAGGCCGCAGGGATGCTAAGCCCCAAAATCATCATAAGGTAATCACAAGGTAAAAATAAACCATATGAGGGCTGCAACGGGTCTGCCAACCATGGCAGGGCTGCAACAAGTTAGGCAACGGCTGTAGAGCTGCATCAAGGTAGGCAACGGCTGTAGAGCTGCACCAAATTAGGCAATTGCTGTAGAGCTGCACCAAGTTAGGCAACCGTCATAGAGCTGCATTAAGGTCCCCTCGAGCGTAGGGGGGGGGGATAAAAGTATATAGATCATCAGGCTTTCTGTCTCCGACAACGGGAATTAAAAATTATGCTGCGACAGGTTCAGAAAAGGTCGTAGACGACGGTCCGTCTAATTACCACAAGCTACACAAGCTTCACAAAGCTTCCTGGCAATATGTTACTAATGAATAAATATGATATATTTACTCATTATAATGTTGGTGCTGAATGTACAACACGAGAAAACATAATTTTAATCTGAAAAATTAAATTTTTGGGGTTAGGTTAGGTTTGGTTAGGTTTGGTTAAGTTAGGTTAGGTTGGGTTAGTTTAGGTTAGGTTGGGTCAGCCTAACCTAACATATCATATTTATTCATTACTAACGTATTGCCAGGAAGCTTTGTGAAGCTTGTGGTAATTAGACGGACCCGTAGACGAGGGTATAAAGAGCTACACCACTTTCCCGTAGTCACTGTTAAGTAAGGGCTCCTCCACCACACACAGTATGGATCAAAGTTACCTGAGGCGAGACAGGAGGTCACGGGGCCGGGCAAGGACCACAAGTCTAGCCATCATGGCTGCACGTCTCGCAATGTTTGTAAACAACTCTTGGAAAGAAGCATCTAAACCAAATTGTATAAAATAATTTTATTTTCACACATCTCGAAATAAAAATCTTCTTAATTTTATTAAGTCTAAAATATAGAGCAGGATCAATAAAACCAGCTATCATGGCATATCTCAGTGAATTAATGTACGAAGTTTACGCAGTGGCCAACTCGTTGATGTGTCGTTGTTGTTGTTGTTGATTTAGGGGCGACCCCGGCTGCCCGATACCGGGAAATAGCGATAAAGATAAAGATTAAGCCACCTAAAAGGTGGCACGGGCATGAATAGCCCGTAAGTGGCGGCCCTTTTGAGCCATTACCAGTATCAAGAGCTGATACTGGAGATCTTTGGAGGTGCGACTGCACCCTGCGTGACGGGAGATGTCTCCCGTGTGATGAGGAATGATTGATTGATGAAGATTAAGCCACCTAAAAGGTGGCACGGGCATGAATAGCCCGTAAGTGGTGGCCTTTTAAGCCATTACCAGTATCTAGAGCTGATACTGGAGATCTGTGGAGGTGCGAATGCACCCTGCAGGACAGGAGATGTCTCCCTTATGAATGTGTTAAGATGAAGATGAAGCAACCCAAAAGGTGGCACGGGCATAAATAGCCCGTAAGTGGTGGCCCTTTTAAGCCATTACCAGTATCAAGAGCTGATACTGGAGATCTGTGGGGGTGCGAATGCACCCTGCGTGACGGGAGATGTCTCCCTTGTGAATGTGTTAAGATGAAGATGAAGCCACCCAAAAGGTGGCACAGGCATGAATAGCTCGTAAGTGGTGGCCCTTTTGAGCCATCACCAGTATCAATAGATGATACTGGAGATCTGTGGAGGTGCGACTGCACCCTGCGTGACGGGAGATGTCTCCCGGACCAAATGGTGACCAGATGGTCACTGAAGAGTCGATTGATTGATTGATGATTGATGAAGATTAAGCCACCCAAGAGGTGGCACGGGCATGAATAGCCCGTAAGTTGTGGCCCTTTCGAGCCATTACCAGTATCAAAAGATGATACTGGAGATCTGTGGAGGCGCAACTGCACCCTGCATGACGGGAGATGTCTCCCGGACCAAGTGGTGACCAAATGGAGGTGATGAGGAATTGATTGATTGATGAAGATTAAGCCACCCAAAAGGTGGCACGGGCATAAATAGCCCGTAAGTGGTGGCCCTTTTGAGCCATTACCAGTATCAAGAGCTGATACTGGAGATCCGTGGAGGTGCGAATGCACCCTGCATGACGGGAGATGTCTCCCTTGTGAATGTGTTAAGATGAAGATGAAGCCACCCAAGAGGTGGCACGGGCACGAATAGCCTGTTAGTGGTGGCCCTTTTGAGCCATTACCAGTATCAAGAGCTGATACTGGAGATCTGTGGAGGTGCGAATGCACCCTGCATGACGGGAGATGTCTCCTTTGTGAATGTGTTAAGATGAAGATGAAGCCACCCAAGAGGTGGCACGGGCACGAATAGCCTGTAAGTGGTGGCCCTTTTGAGCCATTACCAGTATCAAGAGCTGATACTGGAGATCTGTGGAGGTGCGACCGCACCCTGCGTGACGGGAGATGTCTCCCATGCGTGACGGGAGATGTCTCCCGGACCAAATGGTGACCAAAATCCCTGTGGGGAAATAGCAGAGGGATGGGGTCCCTATAGCCTCTTTAGGCCACAGACATGACGAATGAAGCGGAAGGTATGGCGAAGGAAGTCATATCGGACGTCTTCGTCTCTCGCACCTGCCCCGTCAAGGAGAACGGAAACCGTGAGGCGGGGAATAAATAAATAAATAAATAATAAATGTTTATTTCAGGTAAGGTACATACATACATACAAGAGATTTTCCAAAATTTGATCGATTTATAGATAGAGCTAGTACATACAATGCCTAAAGCCACTATTACGCAAAGCGTTTCGGGCAGGAAAAAACATTAATGACTAAAACTTAATACTAATTGAGTATAAAGAATAAAATGTGTTGAGAACAAATAAAAATAAAGACAAAAAAGGGGGGAACATGGCTGAAAAAGCAACACAAATAACAATTAGGTCGACAAACAGCGTTGTTTTAAAAAAAAAACAGACATGGGTTGAAAATATAGGGGTAATAATAATAATAATAATAATAATAATTTTTATTTAGGTAAGGTACATACATAAAGAGATTTTACAAAGTTTGTTGGCTTTATAGATAGAGCTAGTACATACAATGCCTAAAGCCACTATTACGCAAAGCGTTTCGGGCAGGTAAGGTATGTTACAGGGAATTTATTAGGTAGTGCTTCGTTTTTATCTTGTCCCCTAACTCCCCTTGCCACTTCGGGGGGGTATAGGGTGTTTATGTAGCTTCAGGGCACCAATCCCCCCAGCCACAGGGCATGGCGAGAAGGCACCCCTAAGCATACCTAATACCCTATCAAAACACAAACTAAAATACACATAAGTGGCAGAGTTGAGAGCATTTAAGGATGATAAGGAGTCACTTACAATTAATGTATCAAGTTTTGAGACAGGTGATCACTAGTATTTATATTACTAAGTTGCTCTAAGGGGGTCCCAGTGGAACCACGTGGGCTCCAGTAGTACCAGTAAGCTACCTAGAGTCCTTGCTAGTGTCCCTTGCCTAGTAGACTTTACCCTAGCTTGTGCTCATTGTAAAACCTTGTATCCTGCTTATGTGGACCAAGGCTTTTGACGTAAGATGGTGTGGTAAAGTTATTATTGTTATTGGTGTGAATGTATATGGGGGGGTTGTTAAGGGGTTAATTAATAAGTAAGTTAGCTTAAAGGAGTATCCATTCTTCCTGTGAAGGAGATCTATGATCTACCTCTAGGCTGACAATCTCAGTAAGCCACTATAAGTATTACTCATATATTTTCATTGGGGGCCGGGCCTTTAAGATCTCCAATACTTGATACATCTGAACGCTAACTGCTGGCCCTACACCAAATTAATACTAGATCCCCCATAGCAGACACATCAAATCATTAACAGCCTCCAGGACAATTCAGCTCTTGCAGTGATTCCCTCGTCCTAACTACATGCCTACATTACTTCCTATTGTCCTCGTGCCCGAGCCCATCCGCCCCGGATCTAAAAGCTCCACCAGTGACCCAAGGACAGAACAGTCATGCACATTCTTCTCTCCTGCTACACCGAGCTTGTCCACACACTGCCTGCATCTTTTGGTACCGGACTACATGTTCCACAGCGACCCAGGGAACAGTAGCCTCGTATTTTTTGTTGTATTGCTTTTCTTCCATTCCTGGCAGGGGGAGTCCTGTAGCGAGTAAATCTTATACTCGCTCCATTATCTCATTATCTTAATAGCATAACTAATTAGCACTAATTACAGAAGCTACAATCCTTTTCCCAATTACTGGTAATACTCTTCTCATCTTGTTGGAGGAAGCTGAGGTGTAGTCACCATATATAAGCAAGCGATATGAGGAATAGCGACGACCACGGGAGACATCTCCCGTCATGCAGGGTGCATTCGCACCTCCACAGATCTCCAGTATCAGCTCTTGATACTGGTAATGGCTTAAAAGGGCCACCACTTACGGGCTATTCATGCCCGTGCCACCGTTTGGGTGGCTTAATCTTCATCAATCAATCGAATAGCGGACACGGGAGACATCTCCCGTCACGCAGGGTGCAGTCGCACCTCCACAGATCTCCAGTATCAGCTATTGATACTGGTAATGGCTCAAAAGGGCCACGACTTACGGGCTATTCATGCCCGTGCCACCTTTTGGGTGGTTTAATCTTCATCTTCTTCTTCTGAATAGCGGACAGTACAATTTCCACAGTCAACAATGTAACACTCGGCGTGTACAGTTCTAATCGACCCAAGACGCTACAGCTTCGACACAGAGCAGACAGCAGACTACGACCGCATCGAGCCGCCACGCTCTCGCTCCCCGAGTTCAGACACTCACTATTTCCAATTGAGCTGCCACGCTCTCCAACATAGAGCTCCACGACTCCGGCCTCACTCAGCTCTCTGCTCTGCTCCAGGCTTCGTCTCAACGTCTACGACACTGCTGTATCCAGGACTACTAAATAAATATGAAAACTCACTAAACAATGTGTATCTAATCAACCCAACAACGTAACACAATCGTACGTTACACATTAAAAAAGAACTAACGCTGAAGGCCAAAACAGCAAGCTGCCTAAGCGGCAGGATTGATGACTTGACGTCGGCATACATGGAAAACTAGACATAGTGGAAGCTCCTAACAAGGCCCCGGAGCGGGAGGGATATCATGTATGCGCATGGGGGTCCCTCCGGCCGCCGCCTTACCCACTCGTGGCCTTAAACTGGTTGAGAGAGGTACAGTCTTTAACATGGTTGGGAAGGTCATTTCACATTCTGGGTCCCTTGATTTGTAGAGCAAATCAAAAAGCAAAAAAGAGTAAAAAAAAAAAAAAAAGAAAGAGATAGAGGAATATTCAGCCTACGAACGGCACTCTGTAGTCTGACGCGAGCGTTATGAAATCGAGGGCAGTGAAGGTGTTCCACTGTATCCTCCTGGGTCGGACACCACTGGCAGTATGGGGAATCTACCAGCCGTAGACGATGGAGATGGCAGCCAAGCAGGTGTTCCGAATCCGGAGACGAGTGATGGAGGTGTCGAGGAGTCGAGAATGATGAGGCCATGGACTCGGGGAGGAAGGGAAGGGAACTATCAGGGAAAAAGTACCAAGCAATTACGACTATACAGCACTGGGAAAGGGTCAGGATAAGGATTTGGGATGGGACCTGGGGAAGGAATGGTGCCCAACCACTTGGAAGCAGACCTGCATGAAGCGTGACCGTCGCCCAGGTGGTTGGAACGGACACGGGGAGGAGCCCTCCTGGAGACCCATCAAGAGAGGAGGACCTGAGTGCTGGCGCCATCACTGCCTCCCAACTCGCGAGGCAAATCGTCCGGAGTTGCCGGAGAATTTCGGAAAAATCCAGAGGCACATATATAGTCATGGAGACCATGTGTCATCCCTGCTGCTGCGTCGGTCA